ATTTAAACTCCAGTAAAATGGAAAAGCTAAGGTTGCTCTTACTAACTTTGGGAAGACAGATCTCTCCAGTATGGGATTGGGGCGAACTGCCAATCCATATAGGTTCCTTTCCCGCAAATGATTTAGCGCTTCCATCCTTCTGGGAGTAGGCGCAGGGTGGCCACGTCTTGTGTCACAGCTCCAGTCTGGAGTGAGTTGATTATTTCACTGAGCCCGAGAAGCTGACTCATACAAAGAAAGCTGGGAAAGCCCAGGTTTTCGCCCAAACTTAAAAAGCACTTCAGTGCCTGTGAAGAAGCTTTCAGAGCGGGCCGGTGTGTTTGCCACAGGGGGAAGGCAGCGCTTTCACGTCGCTAGGCGTGTGTAACCGTGGCCGACTTGTGAGACTTCAGCTTTCTGCTGTTGGCTCCCCACACGCTGAGGAAGAGTTGCCCTATCTTCTGAAATAGCTGCGGCCTGGTGAACACCTTGGGAGGGGCAAGAGCTCTTCGGTGGGGAACAGCGGGGGCATGGCCTGAGAGCTGCACGTGCCTGCAGGCAGGTACATCTCTAAGCAAATCACACTAAAGGCATATTATCTACTCAAATCTGCAGAGAAGTTTTACCCTGGAGTATCTACTATGTCTTCCTGGTTTGTGCTTTTTTTTTTAATTGTGATTATTTTGATTCCAGGCAAGAGAACTTCAGACTCTTCACAACCTACGCAAACTCTTCGTGCAAGACCTCACCACCCGCGTTAAAAAAGTAAGGCTGCGCCCTTTTAAACCGAGGTCTTGTCTTTCTTTGCAGCATTCTTGTGATGTGCTGGAAGCCTGTAGTGCGTGTTGCTACAAAATGGGTTATTGTCTTTTGCACTAACAGTGAGTAATAAGATTAAAACTCTCCTGGTGTTTATTAGTTTTTATTTAGTCCTGATTTGGTAAGGAGAAGTCTTGGTGGAGAAGTGAAGTGAAGCAACTCAATTCAGTTCAGTTACAACATTCTCAAAGATGGTATTAATGGGTACCAGAAATTATTCAGTATAACTTGCACTGACATACGCTACACGGAATACTGTGGTCCTTTCTTCCCATGGACTTATGACTAGGCAGCCTTTTCCTGGCAAGATTATTATCTGGCAGAAATTAATGTGGTTTTGAGTGTTGAATAAGAGGCAGAAGCTGCATAAATTGTCAAAGTGTCGCGATGCTTTTAGGTCCTTCAGAGTAGTTTTGGGGAAGAGTTTCTATACTTTCTTTTTTTAAGACTGAAAACTCCTATCACATAAAAATGCCTCCCAGGAGTGGAAAAAAAGAGGGAAGAGGGGTTTTACCCACTAAAATCTGTAATTTTCCTATTCAGGATCTCCCCCATAATTGTTCAGTAAGAATTGTCTATTTTTTGTGTAGCCAATGTGGCTCTCGAACATCAAATGAACAGTTAAAATAAATCCTCTTTAATCTGGGGCTCTGGAAGACTTTTCCACCTTTGGGAAACTTAAATTCACAAAAGACATGAGCTTGAGTTTCTCCCTGGCTTTGCTGAATGCTGCAACTCTGTGCAGAGCGTTGAACTCGACAGCGACGACGGGGGTGGAAGTGCCGCGCAGAAGCAGAAAATTTCCTTTCTTGAGAACAACCTGGAACAGCTTACGAAGGTTCACAAACAGGTAGGGGCTGCCTTCCCCCCTTCCTTGTTACTATTAAGTCAAAAGCAGTTGTGTCTTTTTTCACTGATTAATAGTAATCGCTTCTGAAACGTCAGCTATGGGAAAAGCTGTGCATGTATCACTGGTCTGTAGTTACCTTTTTTTTTTATGTTTAAAAGGATAATTTTTGAAGGTATCGGGTACTGTCTGAGGAAATGGTACCTATAGTTCTGCTCAGAGGCACCCTTGGAGGTGACTTGGCTGGAGTCAACCGGAGAGTATGAGAACAGAGAGAGAGAGATTTTCTGTGCAGCTTAAGGGCTGCTGAGGTTGGCCATTTCTGGGCATGTCTGTCTGTCTCCTCCCTCTTTCGTGGAGTTCCGCTTTCCTTTCCAATTCTGCCGTTCAGAGAGACAAGGGCTACAGAAAGCCCTTCACCCGAGGTGCTCAGTGTGCAAACGGGGGGTGGAGGGGATGTGGGGTAGGCGAGCGCTTTGGCTGTTCGTCAAGGAAAGAGCCTTACCCTCCGCTTACTGGAAGCGTGTGTATGTCAGTGGTGTATGTATATAGCACCTCGAGACCTAAAACTGGATCATTTCCTACGGTCTCTTGTCAGATGTCAGTGTTTCTGAACTGTGTCCCCCTGAGCATAAAGTGGTACGGATGCTCTTGATTTCATCTTCGCACGGTGACAGAACACCCGTGAGGTTTTCCGAATCTGTTATTAGCGAGACACAGTGTTCTCCGAGATTGGCTTTATTTCTTCCTGTGGGAGTGCCAAAGAAGCCAGCAGTGCCGGACCGTGACAAGTGCCCACAAAGGTTCAGTATCTTGAGATTCCCAGCGAACAGATGGTTTGAAGACCTAGTTTCTAAATTTGGAAATCAGGACATGTTAGGAGCACTTTGCCTTTTGCTGTTTTGCCTGGGTTTGCACTTGGTTCACACATCTGCTGGGTTCTCAGATATGGATTTTTATAGTTCTCATCAGCGTCTATTTACTCAAAACCAACTCACGAGAAACTGAAAGGGAAAAATGACATTGGACTTGACCTGAACGTGACACCATCCAGCTCTTCTTTCAGATCATAACTATTTGGTAAAACAAGGGTTCAGCACTTGCAGAAAAAGCCCATTGTGACAATTCATGGGTTTTTTTAGCTTTGTTTGTGTTTTTCTTCTGGCACTGAGCCTGGACTGGCAGGTGTAAAACATTTTCATTGTCAAACAAAGTGTGAATGTTAGAACAGGCTGTTGCTTTACTGGATTATTAATGTGGTAGATTAAGCCACTTTCTTCCCTTTGCTCAAGTAAAGGGAGGATATCTCCTTTGGAACAGTTTTCTGTTGACTTCTAGTAGTGGTGTAGTCTGTTCAGTAGAAATTGTACTGGATTTTCTGTTTGCATCAGGTTTTTATTCATGAAAACATCAATTTTCTATGTCAGCTATTGCTGCATGTGAAGTTGGATGTTATTTGGATAATGGATAGACCTCGCTCAGGTTCATATTTAATTAAGGAAGTTCATGAAGTCAGAGTTGCATATAATCATCCCATTTATAGCTACAGGCCTTAAGTAATGTCTTAGCAATGTTTGAGGCATTGAAGTTTCCACTTTTCCCATATGCCTGAGTAAGGAACAAGTAGGTAAGCATGCCATAACCAGTGGAGACGATGAATTTTTGGTGCTACCCAGTCTAGAAGCCATATCCAGTCATTGCCATTTTGAAACAATGAGGTGATGAAGTATTTGTGAAACGCTGGACATTTCTGCGTTCTGAACAAACAGAGTTTCTTAACGTCTAGAAGAGTGGATGTCGTAGTAGCAGGGTTTGTCCTCGGCCCTCCCCTTCCAGGATCAGATCTGGGAAGTTTTGTTGAATGGAATGAAGTCACTTGTTCTTTGGTCTTTCTGGAAAACTTAAATTAATGTCATACCTCAGTTAGGCAAATGAACTGCATGATTAAAAATAAATCTCTCTTTGACATAAGCTTTTTACAGTCATTTCTGGAAGAAACTCGTTTCTTTCATTTGTAGCATACAAGGTGTGAAGAGGAATCGGTGGTACGTTCTGTCTCTCCTTGTAAAGGACTTTTCCCATGAGTTCTCACAAGGTATTTTTGAAACTTCTTCTCTTGCAGTTGGTACGTGATAATGCAGATCTTCGTTGTGAGCTTCCTAAGCTGGAAAAACGACTTCGAGCTACGGCAGAGAGAGTTAAGGCCCTGGAGAGCGCACTGAAGGAGGCCAAGGAAAACGCCATGCGAGACCGCAAACGGTACCAGCAGGAGGTAGATCGCATTAAGGAGGCCGTGAGAGCCAAAAACATGGCACGGCGAGCACACTCTGCTCAAATCGGTAAGGACATGGAGCTAAAGGGTTAGTGGTTGCTCACATACTTCACGGTTGGTCTGTTTGCTCATGTTTGAGTAAAGGGGGCTTTGAAAGCGGCAGCTGGGGGCAAACCACAGGGTCTGATCCTCTGCTGCACAGGAATCTTCAAAGACTTCACTTTTTAATAGAATCTGCCCCACCTAACGTTTAAAGCGCCTCTGCTGTTTAACTCAGTAAATAAGTGGCATAATGGGTCATGTGTGCCCTTCTAGTGACCTGAAAACCTGTCTCTCTAAATTAGTCTCTCATTTTCTTCCTCCTCCCCCACGCTCCTGCTTTCGTGCTTTCCTTGCCTTTCTGGACCTTGTCCCTTCCTCTCTTTTTCCCTGATTATTCCTCCTTGTGAGTTAATTTGGACTGTGTCAAGTCAAAATCCTTCCAGTGTAGTTCAGCTTGATACGTCTTTGTGGCACAATCTGAATGCCTGCCTGCAGTCAAATGCTTGATACGTCTTTGTGGCGCAATCTGAATGCCTGCCTGCAGTCAAATGGTCTTTAAGGTGGGGCAATGTTGTTGGAATTACTAAAGTAGAAGGATAATGTTTTGGATGGAGATGCTAATACTGGTGTCTCAAAACCTGAGAGAGAACTAGGCAGCACATGGTATTTCCTGCTGTGTGCCACCTCTTGTAGAAAGCCACTGACCCCTTTGTCTCAGCATCTTCTGGAATGATGCAAATAGTCAGATTGGACATAGAAAGTACATCGCTGACCACCGAGTGGGTCATGACTTCCCTCTGTTGTACAGACAGTCCATAATGTTTGCATAGATGAGGGGATGGTTGGCGGCTCTGTCACAAGCAGAAAATGGATGTATTTGTTGTTGGCCGAGGTAAGGGAGTGCTGTGTTCAGCATCAGAGCTAGATTGCAGACTACTCTGCCAAGCACAGCTCCATGTTTGGAACCAATGGGGCTTGTAGTAGAGGAGAAGGTGAGGTAGAAAACCTTGTGTGAAAGCTAAACGTCTCCTTTGGTTTCCTACTTGTACTCTGCAGCCAAGCCCATCCGCCCTGGTCACTACCCAGCGTCTTCTCCAACGGCTGTCCACGCCATCCGAGGGGGAGGGATGTCAAACTCCAGCTACTACCACAACACCAAATAGACGAGAAGTAAGACCGTAGTAACTTACTCATCTGTTCTTTCACTGATCACCCAGTTTCCTTAGATTTCAGCCCTGTTCTTAGAAGACCCGCAGTATTTTTTTCGAGTTCTAGTCGGGGTCATTTGCTGGTAATTTCACTGTGAAAAGTTTCACTGTGAAAATTAGCAATTTAAATGAGCAGTGCCTTGTTAGGATGCTTTGCAAGCTGCTGATGAGAGTTTTTTTTTTAATGACTTATCACTTAAAGCTTTTTTAATAAACTAAAATGCTCTGCTAAATCTGGACTGAAATTCACACACAGAGGTGTGAAACTTGTGTAGTAAAAATAGAGTTCCAGGGGTTCCTTCTGCCAGTGTAATTTTCTGCTTTCTGTAACGTGAGTATGTTTTCATGTTGTGATATTCCAGCCTGGGACGGGGGTAGAGCATCCCAAAGTGGCAGCAGCACAGAGCTCTCAAATTGGCAAAATTAGCTTTATTTTTTTTTCCCCCTTTTGCTTTGCACTTACTCATCTCCCTTCTGAAAGCAAACATAAATATTTTACTTTAATTGCAAGGGCTTGAGGGTTTGTCCTAAGCAAAAAATCTCAGTCTGGAAAGATGAGCAGCATATTCGCATGAGAGTGCTCCATGCACCCTGTCCTCCCATTTATTTCTTTAAAAGCTCATTACTTCTGAGATGTTTCACACCTGCTGATATTTTAGATGGTCACTGTGTTCCAGCCATACTAAGGGTTGAATGATAGTGAGCGGCTGTGAAAAGCAGCCAGAGTTTGCTTTTTTTCCCTCCTTGAGGATTAGTTCTTATCTCTCTGTTCTGATAGTATGTGGTTTCTTTAGGCACTCAGCATTCTTGGGTGTGCTTTTTTTTTTTCTTTCCTTTTGTTTTGGAGAACGTTGCATGTTGTGCATGCATGCAAACCATCCATCACCTCGCACTCAAGCTGTTCTCGTGTCACCTGGGTTGTTGCTGTTCTGTTTTCCATGAGCCCTGTGGCTACAAGCCACATGCTATCCCTTTGGATGAATTACGGCAAGTCTTTGAGTGCTTTTGTGCATTAGTTCATTCTGAGCTGAAATTTGCTTTTTTTGCAATTTGCCAAATGTGGTAGCTTCTGTCTACAGCACGGCATTCCCACCTCCGAAAGGGCAAAGGGAAAAGGGTGTGATACAGAGGCATGTACAGTATTTCCAGACATCCATCCTAACGGCTGCTCTGCAGGGAGAATGCTGCTCCCTGCCTGGGCTGACCTTTAATGCATCATCTGCCGTGAAATTAAGTGTCAGACTCAAACAGGCCACACGTTGGGTACAGGCACGTGTCAAGTGAACAACTGCAGGTTAATCAAAGTGATTAACAAAATAAATGGGCTTAAAACTAGGTGAGTGTATAACAAGATGGGACTTGGGAAGTCCACAAAAAACAATCAGAAAGCAGAGAATACCTCGCGTGTTTTAGAGGCTGAGTTTTAGCTTTGAGACGATTTAGAGGATGAGCAGATTCAGGCCACGCTTGGAACACGTTGCAGAGGAGCTCATGGATAATAGGGATGGAAGAAAAGAAGATGGAAGATTTTAGAAGAAACGGAGTAAACTTAGAGATTTATGGTTGTGGAAAATTTTAGGAAAAAAAAAATTCTGGAAACCCAATGGAAGCCCGAGAGGTTGGCATGGAGCCGTTGAAAAGGTGTGTAGGTGTGGTTGTTTCTTAACTGACCGTAGAGGTGCTGTATGGCTTTCATCAGTCTGCTTTCCTTACTGCTCGACTGAGCCCAACGCCCGACAGCGTTCTGACTTACGTATTACACGTAAGTCAACAGTCAGAAACGTCGCGGGAGTTAACTCAATGAATTATGGGTCCTTTCCGATGCAAGATATCCTACAAGTCTGTTCTGTGATTGCTACTTCAGAAAACTGTATTTTAGACATTATGACTGGGTTTTAAACTCAGTCAGGTCCCAGATTTTTTGCACACATCTAGGAGGATGTCTTGAAGATGTAGTAAACCAAGCGTGGCAGTGATTGAAGAAGGTCAGTTCTAGCCATTTTTGGTCCTTCGGATAAGAAGATTGGTGGCAAATGGCAACTATTTGGTTACCAAAGGATTTTGGGAGTATCAGAGTAATCTGAATTCTGAGCTTGTTGGATGACAGCTCAGGGGGCTGAGTGAGAGTGTTAGTAAAGTTACTGCTTGTGCAGGGAAGCTTTTATACAGATTATTTTGATAAAGTCGCCGAGACATTTCTACGGCCCGTAGAAGCACACCATGCTTTCCAACGGCACGGTTGTACACAGCTGGAATTAGAGCAGAACTGTCTTTTCTGTTCAGCTAACAGCGGTGAAATAAAGCTGGGGTTTCTATAGAAATGTTTGCTGTCAAGGATCTCTCTCTGGAATGAAAATTTTATACCATGGTGAGGGGCAATTTGTCTTACGCTCATTCATCATGCACGGCAAAGATAACGGACACTTCTGGCTGTTAGACTGGTCAGTGATTATGATTTATTAAGCCAGCAGCCTGCCCTGTAGGTAGCAGCCAGTGTTGCTTCTGCTGGTTTTATGAAGTTCATTGGTGACATTTTTTTCTGCAGAGCTGGGCCAGCCCGTGAGACGAGGCTCAGACTTTGCCTGGCTTGGGTGATGTTGCCGCGGTGCAACGTGTGTGATGTAAGGAGAGGATTTCTAGCCCAGGAAGTGGAGTGTTTGATGAATAACAGTAGCAGATGTCAGAGAAAGAAATGTGAGCCTTAATAAAATGTGGTCCCGAAATTGTAAATTGCTGGTAGGTGGCTTAAACAGGAGACTCAGGAGGCCAAGGAGTGTCTGCAAATCCCTATGAGATTTGAGATGTGAGGCGAGGTGGAGCCCCTCTGCCATGGGGACAGGCTGGGAGCGTTGGGGGGTTCAGCCTGGAGAAGGGAAGGCTCCGGGGAGACCTTATTGCAGCCTTCCAGTGGCTGGGGGGGTACAGGAAAGCCGGGGGGGACTTTTTCCAAGGGCAGGGAGTGACAGGACAAGGGGTAACGGGTTTAAACTGAAAGAGGGAGATTGAGATGGGACATCAGGAAGGAATTCTTCCCGCAGAGGGTGGGGAGCACTGGGACAGGTTGCCCAGAGAAGCTGTGGATGCCCCATCCCTGGGAGTGTCCAAGGCCAGGCTGGATGAGGCTTGGAGCACCCTGGGCTATGGAAGGTGTCCCTGCCCATGGCAGGGGGTGGCACTGGGTGGGCTTTAAGGTCCCTTCCCACCCAAACCATTCCATGGTTCTATTATTCCTTGCCCTGTCCACACAGGACATGTTTTTGAAAATACTAGTGCAATGAATTTGTTACCTGGGAGATGCCTCAAACCTAGATTTCGGAAATAATCAGAAGGGGAATTCAGACTGGTGCAGCTAACAGGGTAATTACTGCAGTAGAAGTCCTGCTTGGGTTGCAGCTCATTTCTATAAGGTGGTGCTGGACTTGGTACAACCGTGCAGCTAAATTTATGCCAGGGTTTCATGGAGTCAGCCTCAGGATTTCTAAATGTTTATTTCTGTAGCACAGTTTTGAGCCAGTTCTTACAGTTTAATCTTTCCTGTTTTAACAGAAATGGTTGAAATGTATTCTTCAACGTAATTCTTACAAAGTGCTTTAATTTTGGGGAGAGAAGTATTTCGACAAAACCTTAAGGAACAGTACTCCCTTGAGTAGCTGCAAATCATGTCATGTGCGTGGTTGCACATTAGTTTCTCTGCTGGTGAACTACAGAGCTCAGTTGTATATTGTTGTATTTAAAGCTGCCCATGGGAATACTTTCTAAATATAATGAAACACAGTGCAGGTAGCAGAGAAGGTTAATATTAAAGTTTTTCAAATAATACCAGGAATTTAAAAGGCAAAAAAATATGATGTGTATTAAATAGGAACAAAACAACCAAACCAACCCCCAAATTGTTTTGACTTTTTCATGCTGCCTCACAAGGTTCAGGCCAAATCCTGCAGAAAATTGTCAAAGTCACTGTATGGTTTGGTTTCATACAGGTTTTTTTTTTCTAAATCATTAAAACAAACCTGTAATAATAATAACTTTTAGAAATGGAAATAAGCATAAAGGCAGAGTATGAGCAAACGTGGATGTGCCTTGCAGCACACTGGGTAGGAACTGCCAGATTGAAGTGAATAATGGGAAAAAATGCATCAAGTGGTAGAAATCTCTCCTCTGGATAGACCCGGAGCAAGCTGGCTCACCCGGGGTGCTCAGGCACTGCCTGGAAACCTTGGGCAGACCGAGCAGTAGCAGACGTGTTGAGGATGTGTGTCCTTTCCTCCTTCGAATCTGAAGGAAGCTGGTTATCTGCCTGTCCTGCCCTTCTAATATTTGCTCAACCTTGTCCGATACCTCATTTCGAAAGAGAAGGCAAGGTCTGACAGGAAGATAGGCCACCGACTGCAGCAGTGCCCCACCATGGCCTACTGGGGTTATTAGAGCAGCTCGTACCAGGCTCTGTATCCGTGAAACACGCGGTGCAAATATGCCCCGTATCCTACAGTCTCTGGTATGTTCCCAGCACCTCCCCATCCTCGAGCAAGATGAATAACTACATTTAATCTAGCCAGTAAGATGCATAAATTAATAACCTGCTTTCCTTCAAGGTGTTAGTAAGGACGACAATTAGGAGCTAACTACAATTCCCACTGTTAGTTTAGAATAAATGCATTGAGATTTATGTATTTATTTATTTTTATAACTTGAACTGTACAAGAAAATGCTTAATTGAGGAAAACATCTCACTTTGTAAGGCTGATTTTGCATTAGATAATTTTAAAATGTGCTGGGCACATTCAGGTACTTATGTGGGGCTTTCCCCATGGCTGATGAGAAATCCAGGGGAAAAAAAAATTCCAAACCCAAGAGTTTTTAAAAGTCTGTATTTCAAATAGGTCATTATCAACTTTAAATCACCTTTATACTTGGTGACGTGCCTTGAACTTTGCTTCTGGATGGAATTACTATTAAATTAGTGGGAAAGATGCTTGTATAATGTGCATATATGCTATATAAGATTATATAGTATATTTTTATAAAATATTATGCTACTATATAAGTTTTAAAATATATTTATGTAAACACATTTTTCATACGTGTGTGTATATATATCATTAGGAAAGCACCTCTCTGTCAGGAGACATATAGAGCAGAAGTATTGTTGGGGATTTTTTTTTTTTCAAACTTTTTTTTTTTTTAAAGGATTGCTGGGGATTTGTATTTTTTCAGCCTTTTTTTTTTTATAATAAGTTTCCAAAGTCAACTGCAGTTACTCTCCTTCCTTGTTGTATAAGATACGCACGCGT